GCGGTTGCCTCAGTTTACTTGGTATTTCATGCCTTTTCTCACTTCTTTCCAACAGTACAATAATGAGACAGCACTCCACCTGGCTATTCGCCAGCAGGACGACACCAACCTGCACATTGTGGATTTCCTGATTCAGAACCTGAGCCGTATGGACCAGTGCAATCATAACGGAGACACGCCCCTCCATCTTGCCGCCCGGCTGAATAAAGTAGACTGTGTCAAAATCTTACTCAGAGGGGGAGGGAAACCAACTGCAGGTGGGTGGAGCTTGCATTTGGGTTGTTTAGGGGAGGATATTTGTCTTGACACTAAAAATATTGTATGTTGGAACATTAAAATCCGTCTTATTTCATTTTTCTTTCTCAAATTCAGTAACCACAATATTTAACATCTTATATTGGATGTATAACTAATTTTTTCATTGTTAATACATCAGAGATATGAAAAATGTATTTTTACACCCTGAACATAAGTGGTATTTGACTTGCCCTTGGGTTTTCTCGTTGGGTACATGTATATATCAACTGGATTTAAAAAAAACAACTACCTGGTCAACCATTTTTCAACAAATTCAATTACAAAGTCATTACGTTGAGATTGAGGCTTAGCTTTGGTGCAAAAATACATTAGTTATCAGTGTTATTTATTTCAACATAACAAAATTAACACAACCCTAAAAATTTGATGTTGTTACCTTTTGGGGGGTGTTTCAGAGAATACCATTGGTGAAACCAGTCTAGACATTGTTGCCCGGAATGGCTATGGACAGTGCGAGGAGCTAATGCGACAGGCCATGTCAGGCAAACTGCTGCAGTGTGAGCATGTTGACTTTGACTGGGGACTTAGTAGTGATAATGAAGATGGCGCTGATTTCAGTGAAGAGGATGAACTGGACGAACGAGAAAAACCACCGAGGAATTCACGCCAACAGGTAACTGGACCAGACTTGGTTATTGTTCTGTACTCATATTCATGTGTATTAAAATTCATTTTTCAATAAGTCCAAGGTTTGCCTTACATTTACCTTAACTCTGGATCAGCCTGTTTTATTTTAGCTTTTAATCAAGCACCACATTTTCTGAACGAGAATTGTCGATTAAGAAAAGGAACCATCTTGGTTTCTGAGGGTCTTCTGCTTTTAACCTTCCCCAGACAGTTACCAAATATGCAAATTCCTTCATTTGGTTCTCTAGTCCCAAGATGCATAGTGGAACAGCTGCCATCTTATCAGGATTCTAAATGGACTTGTCTTTTTGGCATCATCAAGTTTATCGCGTTTCCGTTTCGCTACCACGTTCCTGTGGTCCTCAGATCAAAAGTAACCTGTAAATGTAATAAAAAAGTAATAAATGTACATTCAGTATTTCGATATTTTCCTTGGTTTGATGGTGCATTTTCCTTTTTTTGGGGGGGGGGGTATTTTTTCTCTTCTCTTATGGATATGCAGCTCACCGGTGTTGAGTCTATATTGCTATACTACCAAGCAGTAATAGGATCAACGGGGCGACCCTGGGATTGTTGGGGTTCGCAAGGCGGAGCAAGCAATTTGATTCTGTGGCCCCACTCTCCCCTATAGACCAACAGGAGTTGGTCTGCTGAAAATTAAGTGGCATTCTGGCTGTACTTGTGATTCCGTGCTAATTCCTGCTGGCAGTACTGGCCTCTGTTCAGTTCAGAGTTAGCCCATGCCACGCTTCAAGGGTCTGAGCTGTAGTGAGTGCAAAATCTGAATGCTCAATTCCCCCAACTTTACCACTGAAGCATTGCAGTCAGTGATAGCGCAGAGTGGCGCTGCACTTGAGGTTAAATTTTCCCCCACTAGCTGGGTCTGGATGCACCACCACCGCACGTCCCAGTTCACAATTATTCCTACCGAGCAATGTCGGCCTTCATTGAGCTCTTGACCAGCACCTACTGTAGGCTTCACTGACCCAACGGTATGGCTCACAAGACCACGCGCTGGGATGGCCCCACTCCTCCCTGCCGGCTGTACCGGCCGCCTCACCCCTGGTGCCGCTGTCTTTGGACGTCTTTTCAACTGGTGCACCTGAGTGTTATAGAGACACTGATCCCTCACAGGCCAACACCCTGTTGCTATCTGGGGCGGCCCTTGCAGAGACAATACCGGGCCAGGCAGGCACGCCACCACCTGCACCCGGGGCAGCAGAACCCACTGGTCTCCTACGCCGTCTTCCGAATGCCCTATATCACTCTGTCTTCCAGCAACCCTCTTGGCCTTTCCAGGAAGACTGATTCCTCCAGCTCTCGCCTGCTGAACCTGAACTGCAGCCTGAGCAAGTCTCCAACGCCTCTACTCTCCAGGCCTCGACTGCTGGCTCTACAACCAGTTAACCTGTGCACAAGAAACACAAGCACTCCTCGTCTTCTTCTGCAGGGTCAAAGCACAAGAAGTCTTGCTCCTCACGGCAGGACGTCTCTTCAGCCAACATCATGTTAGCAGTCCGTAGGCTCTCTGAGACACTGTCCTCAATTGCCAGCTGCCTAGAGCCTAACCCTGCTCCCTCAGTGACTGCTCCAGATCCAGACCCTCTGCCCGCGGAATTTGTTCGACATCTGCATCAGCATCCACCGGCGATTTGATTTTCTCATGACGGCTTGTCTTGTCAACATGCCTGGGTTGCGGTGCAGGCTACAGCTCACATCCTACTCCAGCCCCCCAGCAACTCCACCATACACGACATCTCCTCTTCTGCTGATCAACTTAACAGGATATGTCTTCCAAGGACGAGGACATCACCTCCGTGGCCAACCTTCCCCCTCTGGAGGCATGTCTTCATCTTCTCCAGAGAGATATGATCCAGATTGTAGGCCAGCCTTCTAATCCTTCCATTGCTAAGGCCTCTAACTTGCCTCCTTTAGGTGCCATCCTTTTAGATTGGAGGCATCGGCTCTGCTCTTTCTGGAACTTTGGCTTGACCGCTAATGCGTCGAGATGCTTAATGTTCTTGCTGGTGTGAAGCGATGGTATCCATACCCTCAAGAGCATCGACTTCAAGTTTTCCAGAGAGAACTTGGACAACTCCTCTCCATCCCTGAGATTTGAACTGTGGCTAAAGATAAATTATCATCCGATGCTCAGAAGCCTACCAGGAAGTTTTCTTTTAAAGACAAAGAGAAGTGCACCTTTGAAATGACCCTCGCTAAACTTGGACTTTAATAGTAGCCGTTGCACTTTTTCACCCCTTTTGTCGACCCAGTTACCTGATGAACCGTGTCCGTTCCTCCTCTTCTCAGTCTGCCAAACCACCTCAGACAAGGGGAGAAATACTGAGTCATGCTACTCTCGATCTTTCAGGGTAGACACCGCTGACTACTCTGATTTGCCTCTGCCCTCCGATTCCAGACCCATCAGCAGGCAACTTCAACTTTTCGCAGGTTCTTGGGAGAAAGTCACATTGGACAGCTGGGAATTTACTAGCACCCCTCCATCTGTACCTATGCTCCAGCTGACTTCAGTTCTGACAGAAGCAAGTGAGAGGCACTGGAGTCTGAGATCTTTCTCCTGCAAAAGCGAGTCATCTGCCTTGTGCCCAAATCTCGGACAAAAAGGGCTTCATCTCAATATTCCTCCTCACTCCAAAGAAAGAACTCAACAGTTGGCGACCTATTATCAAGCCTCTGAAGGACTTCATCTGGCCAAAGAAATTCCACATGGAGTTTCTTTACCTAGTCACACAGTCTCTCATTATTCCTTGTTGGGCCTCTTCCATAGACCTGAAAGATGCCTACCTCCACATCTCGATTCACCCATGAAGCTACAAGTACCTACGCTTCCTGCATGATGAGAACCTCTTCAAATTCATTCCTCTTCCCTCTGGCCTCTCCACCTCACCGAGAGTGTTCATGAGGATTGCAAAGATTGTCCCCACTCACCTTCGAAAGCGGGATGTCGTGCTGTTCCCATACTTGGATGACTGGCTTATTGTTGGCAGATCGTCCAGCGAGACAGCGGCTCCTACTTGCCTCACTTGCGACATCATGAACCACCTAGGCATTTAAGGTGGAAAGCTTGCAGTAGCACCATGCAAGGATACGATCTCTTTTGTGAGTCTGTATGGTTCTGGAAAGTCAGGAGACTGAAGAAATGCCGATAGAGAGTGTCGGCATCTCTTCAGTCTCCTGACGACGGACAGAACATACTGTCCGAAACGTTGAGTTCCTCACGGTTCTTTTCAGAACCATACAGACTCACAAAGAGATCGTATCCTTGCATGGTGCTACCACAAGCTGTCCACCTTAGTTGTCTGTCACCATGAATAGCTTGAAACCCACACCTAGGCTTTATCATCAACTCCTAGAAGTTGAAGCTCACAGCAACATCCGACGTATCTAGGCAGTTCCTCGGTGTTGGACGTACATTTTGGACACTTCAACAGTGTGTGTTGTTATACTTATAATCCTGAAGCAGATTTTAATTTTGATAAAAGACATCAGTTAGTTGGTACATTCATTTAATGACAAAATTCTTCACCAGCAATTAGGCTGAGAGATTATCCTTTTCACTGAAATTTAAGACTAATGGCATAATGCTTTTAAAACTACAGTCTTGCATTGTATGTTTCATGATAGGTACAGTACATGTATATGCCATGGAAAGCATCTATGGAACACCCCCTTTAATTCCTCAAGCAACACAAAGTGAAACCAATTGATTTTACATGTACCTTGAACAAAGGTATAAAAAAACACACCTTTGTTTAGTCTTTGACAATTCTTCTTTCTTGATGTGGATTACATGTACAGTACATGTATACAACACCTGGAACTTTACTTGTCTTCATCAAAGCTCACACTGACATGACTTACCTCAGAATACATGCAAATCACATGTTTGTCCATACATGACACATGTGGAATGGCTTTGGGCCCTAATTATAACCTTATTAGGATGTGTCTGTCCAAATAGTCGAATTTATGCAAATTAGTAAAAAACAAAAGTGAAGCCTATTTGGTACTTTTACAAAATGTGGGGGCCTCATTTCC